TATATATATATATATATGGGATACCTGTGTGTGTGGAGGTTAGAGGACCTCCATCCTGTTTTGGGAACTTTGAAATAAATGACTGTGGTTTTTGTGTAGCCTTTTACAGAACTCCTCAGATTAAATTGAATGTTCCTTTGTCTTGTCAGTTCACATGGAGATGGGTTGGTTTTTGCTGTGTGTGTGCACTGCTACCTCCTTGCCCTGCTGCCTCTCCTGTCTCCTTGGGATGTCTGCTTTAGGCCACTCAAACTGTTGCTCTTTGTTTTTGCAGCTGAGCTGGAGTCCAAGTACAATCCAACTCTTCACTCTCTGATTTTTTTTAATGTATCTTTTATCTTACCAGGAATAGTTTAGTGCAGGAGTCGAAAGATCCAGTTGAAGAGACAGTACTGGCTCTTTTAGGCAGGTTCTTAATCTCAAGTATAGAATGAAGATAAAAAGAGCTACCTTAGACTAGAGGGATAGCTCAGCTGTTAAGAGCACTTACTTTTCTTCCAGAAGACCTGAGTTCAATTTCCAGCACCCATATGGTAGCAAACAACCATCCTTAACTCTAGTTCCAGGGGATCCAGCACCCTCTTCTGTACTCCGTGGTCATTGCACACATGTAGTACACTAACATACATGTGGGCAAAACACTCAAAATAATAGCTATCTCAGGCTGGGTGTGGTGGCTCATGCCTTTAATCCCAGCATAGGCCGGCATTTCTCTGTGAGTTCGAGGCCAGCCTGGTCTGTGCAGCAAGTTCTAGGCCAACTGGGGCTACAGGGAACCCCTGTCTCAAGAAGAAAAATTAAAAAGCTACTTCAGAGCCTGTTGTTATGATGTATTTAGCATTCCATATCATTCCTGGAGCATGTCAAGTGTCCTGAATACTGATGCTATTAGGCAGCTCTTAAGTCATTATCAACACACAACTTTATAAGGTTAGATATTCAGATAGATGAATAAACTTGCCAACAATGTTGTTCGTACCAAGCCATTCAGGAAGTATCCTACTTCAAAAAACCTTGTTGGGGCTGGAGAGGGATCAGTGGTTCAGAGTACTGCTATTGCAGAGGGCCTCAGTTTGGCTCCCAGCACTCGTATCTGATGGCTGATAGCTACCTGTAATTCTAGTTCCGTGTGATCTGACATGCTCTTCTGGAGGCACTATACTTGCATGTCTATATCGCCACCCCCCCACACACACAAATACACATAATTTAAAATTTTTTTTAAGCTTCTAGACTTTTGCCTGGCATGGTGGTGCATGCCTTTAATCCCAGCACTTGGGAGGCAGAGGCAGGCAGATTTCTGTGAGTTCAAGACTAGCCTGGTCTACATAGTGAGTTCCAGGACAGCTGGTGCTACAGGGAGACCCTGTCTCAAAAAGACCAAAAAAAAAAAAAAAAAATTCTAGACTTTTTTATAATCTCTAGAAGTTCAGTTAGGTGATTTACATTTTCTGTAGGGCACAGGTGAAGGTACAATTCTCCCAAGACCGGGACCTGCAAGTGACAGATACCTCCCTGTCTCCAACATAAGCCCAACACAGGCAAAGCTACTGCCAAGCACAACTTGCAACCTTGGGAGTGGGGGTCATGGGGAATGTAGTCACTTAGAGAAGGCCAAAACTGCTACCTACCATCAGAAACTGCTACTGTAATGGGCTTTGCTATTTTGCTTTTTTTCATCTCACCACTGATTGCCCCCAGAGTACCTCCTCTTCCACATTCATGAATTGACTCCCTAAACTGCCTTCCATCTCATTTCATCATATCTCACCCTTTACAAACCACCACAGTAAAGCCAGGCATGGTGGCGCATGCCTTTAGTCCCAGCACTCGGGAGGCAGAAGCAGGTGATCTCTGTGAGTTCAAGGCCAGCCTGGTCTACATAGTGAGTTCCAGACCAGCTGGGGCTACAGCGACCCCTGTCTCAAAAAGACCAAAAAAAAAAAAAATCACCACAATAAAAATCTACAATTTCTCTATCTCACCTTCCAGAGGCACACTTAAGGATAACTAGGGCCCCACATGCCCTGTAAAAGCACTTGTGAGTTCTGATTAGATCCTCATTGTACGTGTTTCTGTGTGTAGATTTGTGCTACACTGTGAAGAGGAAATGAATATTGCATCCTTTTTTACATTTGAGGATACTGAAACTTCAACAAATCATTTGCCTTCAGTGTCAGAGTTGCTAGCTTGTAATCTTTTCCCTTCTGTGCACTCCATGAAGCAGAACTAGTCCCAACCTTGATTCTTATCTCAGGAACATAGAATAATTACCATGACATGAGATACCATTGATTACATTTTCTTTAGTGGGTAGAAAAGTAAGTCGATTGGAGAAACAGTAAACTTTTTCACAACCCATATGTTCTCTTTCTGTTAACTTTTTTTTTTTTTTTTTTTTTTTTTAATCTTTTTGAAACAAGGTCTCCCTGTAGCCCCAGCCTCCCTGGAACTCACTATGTAGACCAGGGTGGCCTTGAACTCACAGAGATCCACCTGCCTCTGCCTCCCAAGTGCTGGGACTACAGGCGTGCGCCACCATACCCAGCTAACTTTTTTAAAATCTAAATGCAAACCATGTGGCTCCACTCCTCTGTGCTTACCTGACAGTTACGCCATGTGTCTTAGTTATTTTTCTGTTACTGTGATAAAACACCGTTTCCAACAGAAGTCGTAAAAGAGTTTATTTAGCTTACACTTCCAAAGGGGCAAGAGTCAGTCCATCAAGGTGGCAGAGGTAGCTGGAGGAGGAGCAGAAACTAAGCTCTCACATCTTCAAGCAGGCACAGGAAGCACAGAGTGACTGGAGATCTGGCAAGGCTTAAGACCTCTAAGCCTGCCCCCAGTGATGTGCTTCCTCCAGCATGGCCACACCTTCTAAGACCCAAAACAGTGCCCCCAATTGGGCACAAAATGTCCAAATACTTGGAGCCTCAGGAGGACAGCCTCATTTAAACCACCACACCCATGTTACCTGTTGCTTTTGTGGTACAGTAAAAAGTTATTTTTGATTGCCCTAACAGAAAGCTCCTTTACTCTTGACTTTGATTCTTGTCACTATAGTAAAGGATTATAAATGACCTCCAATAACTATATTCTTCTCATATTGTTAAACATCAGTTCCTTGAAACACTTGTAGAAAACTTGGAAAATGATTGCCTTGGGATGTATCTGGACCTCGTCCACTGCACTGCTGTGGTCCAACTGTGGGGTCTCTGAGTCTCCAATCTCCTCTGTGACACCACAGCATCCTGAGGCAGCCTTGTACATGCCAGGAAAATGCTCTACCCACCGAACCACAGCCAAGCTGTTGTGGTTTTAGACAGGGGCTTGCTGTGCATGTCAGGCTGGTCTGGAATTTGTAGTCCTCCTGTCTCCACCTCCGAATGCTGGGTATTTCAGTTTTATGTTTCATTCTGTGATACAATTTTAGTTGAGTTTTGTAAGGTACAAGGCAGGGATCAGCAATGTCATTTGTTCCTCCTGGTTTACTGATAAGATTGTCCTTTTTCCATTGAATTTCTTGTGTTTTTGTTGAAGATCTGTTGTAAGTCTGTGTCTAGATTCTGCATTGTCCCATTGAGCCACGTGCCTCATCTTGGCTAACCACACTCTGCTTTGTACAATCGCTGTATTGTGAAAGCTGAAGTTGCCTTGTATTTATTTGTATGCATCCTTTTTTCAAAATTGTTCAGGCTCTTGTAATTTTTTTTTTGTCTTTTCATTCAAATTATGGAATTAACTTCTTGTTTTCTACCAAAACACAACACAAAAAGCCCTACTAGAATTTTGATTTGAACCATGCTAAATCTGTAGATCACTTGGGAAAACTTTATAACAACAATGAATCTCTATTTAGGGCTTTGGTTTCTTTCATCAGTGATTTATAGTGGTTATTAGAAACACGCTGTAGATTGATTGGTAAATATATGTGGCTTTTGGTCTATTGTCAGTAGCACTTGAGAATATTACTACATTTATTCATTGCTAATGTAGAATTGAGTTGATGGCTGTACATTGTAATTGATGTCTTCTAACTGTGTTTATCCTAGCTACACACATTGTACAATGCCTGCAGTCCTGGCCCTCAGAAGGATGAGGCAGGATTGCAAGTTCCAGGCCTGCCTAGGCTCTATATCAAAATACTGTCTCACAAAAAAGAGAAATAGAATTCTCCTTTTGCAGTTTGACTTTGCGTCCTGCAGTTACTAAACTATTCTGGTAGCTCCTTCTGTAGAGACCTTGGAATTAAATTTTTTTTTTTTTAATGTGTATGAGTGTACTCCCTGCATGTATGTGAGTGTACCTGTGTCATGCAATGCCCGCAGAGGTCAGAGGAGGGCATCTGATCCTCTGGACCTGAAGTTATGGACAGTTGTTAGCTGCCATGTGGGTGCTAGGATTCGAACTTGGTTCCTCTGTAAGAGTAGCCAGTGCTCTTAACTGCTGAACCATCTCTCTAGCCCTGGGATTTTTTTTTTTTTTAATAGACGTCATCTGTGAATAGAATTTTGTTTCTTCCTTTTTGTTGTGTGCATTTTTCTTTTTCTTTGATGTTTTACACAAATGGGCTCCCTCCCCTGTGGTGTTGACTAGCAGAGGTCAGGCTAAGCATTCTAGGCATTGCTGCTCAGCCCGGCCTCTTAAACTGTACCCTCTTTCTTCCTTGCAGCTGTGACTGGCTTGGCACTCAATGTGTAGAATAGGCTGGTGTCAGACTCAGACCCTCCTAGCACGTCTGCGATTGTGAAGTTTTAAATACTCTTTGTCTCGCTCACCTTAGAAATTACCCAAACAGGCTGTTCGGTAGTAGAACCGAGTGGTATGCTCGAAGCCCTGGTGCCAAAGGAAAAGGAAAAGAAAGAACCATGAAGAGGATATTCCTGACCTTTAAGTGGGACTAGAGTAATTTGTTCTTAAAAATTCTCAGTAGTCAGAGAAAGGTGCTGTAATTTTTTATTTACTTTTTTAAATGATGGGTTTAATTATTTTTTTCTCTCTAGTTCACACATCTTGTTAATAATTTGAATTCAAACTATAATGTGTATTTTTTACTTCCTCGCCCAAAACGGCATTTCACCAGTTACCCTAATGCTCTATTTTCTTTTAAACCCCTTAGGAGCTTTTCAGAAAAGTTCGAAGTATCTTAAATAAACTGACACCACAGATGTTCAACCAGCTGATGAAGCAAGTGTCAGGACTTACTGTTGACACAGAGGAGCGGCTGAAAGGAGTCATTGATCTGGTCTTTGAGAAGGCTATTGATGAACCCAGTTTCTCTGTGGCTTACGCAAACATGTGTCGATGTCTAGTAACGGTAAGAAGAGAGGAGGAGTAAAACCAGAAATCTCCAAGAGGTATACGCTCCCCTCGCTGCATGCTTCCCGAGGTGTTAGTGGGGCATGTAAAGGGGAGACTGTATTGGTAGTACTGGTTAATGTAATGTTCTCATTGAGAAGAATTCTGCTAAATTAAAATATTTACTCACCTCTGAAAGGCCTAAGGAGACCCCATCGAAATGGGCAAAGGATGGTCTCCTCTGACCTGAGGAGGACTGAGCAAGGTTTGTTAGTAATGTGAACTTATGTCATAGGCAGCACTCCAGTGTCATCCAATGGAAATAGAACAAATGCTAAGTTTCACATTAAATTTAAAATTAAATGAACTGTTGATTGAATTCTATCTACTGAAAATAAGATATTTATCTTGTGATCAGAAAGGTTCGAATTTGATAGTTTCCTGTCTTGATGGGCCTGGTAGCGCACCCCTGTAACCTTGTTGCTCAGGAGGCTGAGGAAGGATGAGTTCAAGGCCAGCCTGGGCTACAAAGTGAGGCCCTATCTCATAAAAACAAATATAAAAAGCAAACAAATAATTTCCTCTCTTTACATTGTCCATAGACATTACTCTCCACAGCTTGTCAAAATGACAGACAGAATGGGGTGGCGGTCAGCTTCTGTCGCGTGTTCACTGTCCTCGGCTCTGCAGACCCCCATGGACCCCCTCTGTTTTCTTTTCCTCTTACTGTAGCTAATCACAAATGTATACCACAAATGTATATCCTGTAGCATTTGGGGTTTTTTCCCTTCGTTTTTGAAATTCACTGTTGTCGATGTCTTTTTTTTCTGTGCCTGTTCATTCGTTTGTTTTTGGAGACAGCGTCTCTTACTGCCCAGGCTTTCCTCAAACTCACTGTTCAGCTGAGGATGACCTTGAACTCCTGTTCCTCCTGTTTCATCCTCTGAAGTGCTGGGATTAATAGGTGTGTGCTGTGCACCAGGTTTGTCATCACATCTTCTAGAAATAAGCCGTACTAATGCAAAATTTGGGTATTCTTCCCCTGGAACTCCTATAACATTTTTGAGTTCTTTCTTTTCTTTAATACATCTGTTTGCTCTGCTCCAAAATAAAAATGTAAAAGAAAAAAATCTTGCAGGTATGGTAGCCTATACCTATAATCCCAACATTTAGTCTGAGGCAAGATGATCACAAGTTTTATACTAGCGTGGTCTGCATAGCCAGTTCTAGGCCTGCCAAGGCTACATAGAGACCTTGTCTCTGAATAAACAAGCAGAGTTCTCTTATTCTACCAACATCTTTGAGTACCTGTATCAAAGGTAGGTAAATCTCTTGGGACCTGGACAGGCTAAAGCCTGTCATCTTTGTCTTTAAGAAATTTAAAATCCAGCCAAGTGTGGTGACACATGCCTTTAATCCTAGCTCTCTCGGGAGACAGAGTGCTTAGAAGATGTATTGTGATCTATCAGTGTGTTGGTGATGACTGGATGGTTTAGGCCAAAAAATAAATTGGAGAAAGAAATCATTGTGTTGGTAAGAATGACAGACTTGGACGAAGCAAAGGAGCACTGGACGTGGTCATGGACTGATGACATCCAACTACAGAGAAGTAAACACTTGGACTAGAGATAGCGCATCAGTTCTGGGGACACACTGCTCTGCCAAGAACTCGAACACCCTCACGGGTGATTCACAATCACCTAAAACTCAAGCTTTAGGAGATCCTGTGGCCTCTGAAGGCACCTACACTCTTTTGCACATACCCATGCATAGACATACATGAATACACATAATTTAAAAAATAAGAAATCTTTAAAATAAGCACATTCCAGGCCAGTTCAGATATGTAGCAACAAGCAATGACGTTTGGCTGTCCTCACAGCTCTAAGTTTAAAAT